TGACAATTGCACAATCATGCAGCACTGGACACAAATGAAATTTTATATTTTTTTTTTTTCACACAAATAGAGCTTTCTTATGTAGAATAAAATATACAGTAAGCGCTCATCAGTATTGGCAGCAGCTGAACATACAGGAAAAACGCATATAAAGTCCCTCAATAGTATATATATAAAATGCAGCGCTTGAAAAAAGTGAATATAAAAAGTGAATATAAAACACAGTCCAGTGAAAAAGGTGCTCCGTATATCCTAGTGCAGATGGTAAGGATTTACACTAACCAGATAGCGTAAAATTATACGCATATATATATGTATCTTGTGAAGTCCCCTTCTCCCCTCAGATCTGGTCAGATGAATAGCCAGGAAAGGTAGATCTGGTCAGATGAATAGCCAGAAAAGGTAGATATCCTACGCCCTCTTGTGGTGAAACAGCAATCCAGCAGATCAAACAGAAAAGACCTTCCTTCACAGGAGTAGATAAGGAAATCCTTTGGGGCTGTGAAAATTGAGGAAGCTGTAGTCTGTTCAGTATTTGAGATTGCTGTGGCTTCTCGCTTTGTGCATTCGCTGAAGTGAGCCAAAGTGCAATGCTCAATACTTAATCCAAGATGAATACTTTAGCCAAGATGATAATTGCCAATGCTACCCCTGGCTGTGCTGCCCAAGCTGTAGAACAGTTAAAAGCATTCAAATAGACAGTTTCCAAGATGGCCGCCAGCGCAATGATGTCAGAGGGAGGCTCTGCCCGACGAGTTTCGTCATCAAAAGACATGTCTTTTGATGACGAAACTCGTCGGGCAGAGCCTCCCTCTGACATCATTGCGCTGGCGGCCATCTTGGAAACTGTCTATTTGAATGCTTTTAACTGTTCTACAGCTTGGGCAGCACAGCCAGGGGTAGCATTGGCAATTATCATCTTGGCTAAAGTATTCATCTTGGATTAAGTATTGAGCATTGCACTTTGGCTCACTTCAGCGAATGCACAAAGCGAGAAGCCACAGCAATCTCAAATACTGAACAGACTACAGCTTCCTCAATTTTCACAGCCCCAAAGGATTTCCTTATCTACTCCTGTGAAGGAAGGTCTTTTCTTTTGATCTGCTGGATTGCTGTTTCACCACAAGAGGGCGTAGGATATCTACCTTTTCTGGCTATTCATCTGACCAGATCTACTTTCCTGGCTATTCATCTGACCAGATCTGAGGGGAGAAGGGGACTTCACAAGATACATATATATATGCGTATAATTTTACGCTATCTGGTTAGTGTAAATCCTTACCATCTGCACTAGGATATACGGAGCACCTTTTTCACTGGACTGTGTTTTATATTCACTTTTTGCATATTCACTTTTTTTCAAGCGCTGCATTTTATATATATAGAGCTTTCTTATGGTGGTATTTGACCATCGCTGGGTTTTTTTAATTTTTGTGCTATAAAGATGGCCATAGATTTTCATACGAGAATTTTTCGTTTCAAGGTCGTTAGTGGGGTCAAATCGATGTTTCGTTTTTTGACAGCAATGACAGGTCAATTCGAATGGGCAGAAAGGAAAACTTTTTTCTCGATCAAAAAGAATTTTCGGCTAGTGTGTGGTCATTGTTCAGAATTACATTCATTTTAAAATCGAATGTTAAAAGCAAAAGACATTTGTCCATTCATCGAATGTTCTTACGAAAATTCTCGTTCGAAAATCTACACGTGTAAGGCCAGCTTAAATGAAAAAAGACCAAAAGTTTAAAACAAAAAGAAAAAAAAAATATTTTTTATGTACTTTTTGCTTTAAAACATGTACAATAAAAAAAAAAAAAAATAAAATGTCTTCATAAATTTAGGCCAAAATGTATTCTATGTCTTTGGTGAAAAAAAAATCACAATAAGCGTATACTGATTGGTTTGCGTGAAAGCTTTTGCATCTTCAAATGGCGGTATATATACTGGAATATTTATTTATTTTTTTCAATACTAGTAATGGTAGTGATCAGCGACTTTTAGCGGGACTGCAGCGGGCATTTTGACACTAATAGTTAGTGGGAATTAACTGCCACTGACAACTCCAGTGACACTAATACAGTGACCAATGCTAATAAAAAGCACTGACACTATAATAATGACACCTGGCATAAAGGGGTAGCATCTGGAGCAATCAAGGGGTTAACTGTGTGTTAGGTTGATTAATGTGTACTCTGTTGTATTTTACTAGGGAATGTTAAAAATCAGCACATCCCCATTGACAGGAGAGAGATCTGTGTTGTCAGCTGCTCTTCCGAGTCCCGGTCATGAATCGCTGGACGTGACCCTGTGATTAACATATTCGGGAGCCAATGACAGAGCAGATAGGGTGGCGCAAGCAAAAATGCAGATGCATGAAACTGCGCCACAAACGCATCAACCGTGCACATACAGATGTTAACCTAGCCTAGAAAAAAGTTTACCAACCTCCTCTATAGTAGCTTGGTTTTAAACAAGGGAAGTATAGATTTTTATTAAGTGGTCAATAACTTGGATGGGTCTAGAGGTATATGGGATGCCCAAGGAACTGTAAACTGAAGAACAAACTTCTTAGCAACAATGTTGAACATGAAAAATGTGGATCCAAACTAGCAAATGCCTCTGTTAAGGAGCACCGAAGTCCCCTTCGTGTACCTTCTCAAACCCCAGATGGATCCACCTTTTCACTGAGGGTATCCCTGGGCAAGGGATTCCAATATCTGCCAATCAGGGGTGGACTGACCATTTGGAAACTCAGGCACTGCCCGAGGGCCCGGGGTCAGTAGGGTGCCCCATGAGATGCCCATGGTACCTTTTTCATAGGCTTTTTGGAGTTTGGGCAAGGACACAGGGGCCCCATGATCCCCTATTGCCGGGGGCCCCATGAGTTGTCATTCCGCCCCTGCTGCCAATTAAGTAGTCCCGGATGAGAACTAGTTGGGTCTTGCACTTGGGTCTTGGTGGTGCTTGGTGGGTTGAAGCTGCCTTTAGGCCTTTCGCTGGGCTGGCCCCTTCCCAGCTGACAGATTGTCTTCCCTAGGAGATGGTGGGACAGTGGAGATCCTTCTGTCCAGTAACCAGTCTGTAGGTAGGCTCCCCTTCCTGGGACCCCTCCCAGGCTCCACACTACAGCCTTCCTCTCAGTCCATCTTCTACCCGAGTACCCTGCTCCTCAGGCTCTGCCACATTTAAGGGTTGTCCTTGGTCACCATGCCCGGCCTCCTACCTGGAGATTGGCTAAGGTCCCTCAAACATGCTGATCTGGGCCTCCTCCCCTCTTCCAACCCTCTTCCAGAAAGTTCTCTGAGTTTCTGGAAAGGTGGGAGAGGGCTCCAGAAGCCCTGACTTGTATAGCCCCCAAGCCTGTTCTGAGGTGAACTCACTCTTTGGCTGACTCATCCCAGCCTGCTACCCAGCCTCTGTCTAAAAAAACTACAAAGCCTAGCTACCTAGAGGGTGCTACAAACACAACACACAAGAATGCCAAAGTGTGAATGGGCACTTACTGTTAAACTTTGGTAATTTTGTAGGGCTACGTTCACACCCTGTGCATATCAGGAACACATGCAAAATCGTGTGCTTTCCCAATATGCAATAAAAATATGCTGTCCTTTAGCAGACCAGCAATTGTGCAGCTAATTATTAATGACACCTCCACACATCTGCAGATACTCATGTTTTTGCATGTGCCAAATTTCATGGTGCTTCAAGTGTGATTTATTTTTATTATTACAGGTACTTATATAGTGCTGGCAATTTATGCAGAACTTTTGCAAAAGGGTCAGGAATTTATTTTGCGTGTTTTACATGTGTAGAGCAGCCCATTGAAATGAATGGGCAGTCCTACACGTAACGCACTGGAAAGCATAGAAAATGCAACCACTGACCATACAATGTGATCACTGTAAATGAAGCATTGATATTTTGTCTGTTTTTGAAGCAGCATCACACCCAAAACCAAAAATTTAATATATTGCAGCAGACCAATCATTATATGTGGTGACTGCATTAGGTTTTTTTTTTTTTAGTGTGGATTCACACATGTGGGGTGCAAACTGAAGATCCGTTTTCACAGCTAATTAACAAAGTAGTTGTTCAATGGTTCAGGTCAGGTTTAGATCAGGATCAGGTCAGGATTTTATCCTGTTCACAACTGATGACATGTGTGATTCAGAAGCGTTCCCACAGAAGTTAATTTGTTAGACATGCATTTCTTTTGAATTTTTTGTTGCTATTCTGTCTCCCAGTGTTACAATACACCTACCATTCGATTTTTAGACTGATCATTTCTTTGTGAGTGGGCAAACATTCAAAATCAGCAGGGGATCAAATACTTATTTCCTTCACTGTATATACAGAATCTCTAACATACACTGAGCTGCGCATGCGGAGCTCAGCTTACATCGCCGGCACGGTCCCTGTGTTCCAGGATAACTGACATCTGCATTTGCGCAAGATTTACCTCATCTTGCGCTGGCCAATGGAGATGTCCAAAGACCATCGTGATGCCATCGAGGGACCTGGACCATTAGAGAGGAGGTGTAGTGTCTTTACTCTAAAGTCTTTTTTTAAACTTGTACCTATAGGCAGGGGCGGACTGACAACTCATGGGGCCCCCGGGCAATAGGGGATCATGGGGCCCCTGTGTCCTTACCCACACTCAAAACACACCCAAAAAAGCCTATAAAAAGGTACCAGGGGCATTTCATGGGGCCCCCTACTAACCCCGGGCCCTCGGGCAGTGCCCGAGTGCTCGAATGGTCAGTCTACAGGTAAGCCTATAATAAGACTTACCTGTAGGTACATTGAATATCTCCTAAACTTGCACCGTTTAAGAGACCTTCATCTGCATGCAGCCAGTGATATCATCGGTGCATGCGCTCTGAAGGGATGGTATACCTGGACCATCCCTTCAGAGCTCCGTGCTGTGGCCGAATCTCTCAGGCGCAAGCGCGGAAGGGACGTCGTCACAGCTTGGCCAGTCAGAAGACCGGAGCACATAAACCCGGAAGGAAGACCAGGTGAAGATGGAAGCTCTGTCAGGAGGGCTTCGCTCTAAGGTAAGTACTTCATAATGTGATAGTATGAATGTTGCGATCAGGGGTCAGGCTCAAAGACCAGTTGCTATAGCAGTGGAGAGGCTTACACTGAAACCAGCAGGATAGGTACACAGGCAGGTCACCGTGGCGGAGGAGTGGGCTCACCTGAGGTGCAGAGTCTAAGTACTAACTGGTATTCACCAGAGCTCCTGATGGTGGAGGTGGATATTGCTGCGTGTTAGCACCAGGTCGCGGTCCTCAGGGTCACCCCATCAGGAGGTAAGCAAGCAGAGGTCCAGTAGCGTATTAAGCAAGTAAGGATCAAATAGAAGCGTGGTCTGTAAACAAGCCAAGGTCGGTAATGAGCAGTCGCAGGTTGGGATCAGGCAGAAGCGTAGAGGAGAACAAGCCAAGGTCGGTAATGAGCAGTTGCATGTTGGGATCAGGCAAAAGCATAGTCAAGAACAAGCCAAACTCGGTAATGAGCAGTAGCAGGTTGGGATCAGGCAGAAGCGTAGTCGAGAACAAGCCAAGGTCGGTAATGAGAAGTCGCAGGTTGGGATCAAGCAGAAGCGTAGTCGAGAACAAGCCAAGGTCGGTAATGAGAAGTCGCAGGTTGGGATCAAGCAGAAGCGTAGTCAAGAACAAGCCAAGGTCGGTAATGAGAAGTCGCAGGTTGGGATCAAGCAGAAGCGTAGTGGAGAACAAGCCAAGGTCGGTAATGAGCAGTCGCAGGTTGGGATCGGGCAGAAGCATGGTCGAGAACAAGCCAAGGTCGGTAATGAGCAGTCGCAGGTTGGGATCAGGCAGAAGCGTGGTCGGTAAACAAGCCAGGGTCGGTAATGAGCAGTTGCAGGTTGGGATCAGGCAGAAGAGTAGTGGACAACAAGCCAAGATCGGTAATGAGCAGTAGCAGGTTGGGATCGGGCAGAAGTGTAGTGGAGAGCAAGCCAAGGTCGGTAATGAGCAGTCGCAGGTTGGGATCAGGCAGAAGTGTAGTCAAGAACAAGCCAAAGTCGGTAATGAGCAGTCGCAGATTGGGATCGGGCAGAAGCATAGTGGAGAACAAGCCAAGGTTGGTAATGAGCAGTCGCAGGTTGGGATCGGGCAGAAGCATACTGGAGAACAAGCCAAGGTCGGTAATGAGAAGTCGCAGGTTGGGATCGGGCAGAAGCGTACTGGAGAACAAGCCAAGGTCGGTAATGAGCAGTCGCAGATTGGGATCAGGCAGAAGTGTGGTCGGTAAACAAGCCAAGGTTGGTAATGAGCAGTCGCAGGTTGGGATCAGGCAGAAGTGTGGTCGGTAAACAAGCCAAGGTTGGTAATGAGCAGTCGCAGGTTGGGATCAGGCAGAAGCGTGGTCGGTAAACAAGCCAATGTTGGTAATGAGTAGTCGCAGGTTGGGATCAGGCAGAAGCGTGGTCGGTAAACAAGCCAAGGTCGTTAATGAGAAGTCGCAGGTTGGGATCAAGCAGAAGCGTAGTCAAGAACAAGCCAAGGTCGGTAATGAGAAGTCGCAGGTTGGGATCGGGCAGAAGCGTAGTCGAGAATAAGCCAAGGTCGGTAATGAGAAGTCGCAGGTTGGGATCAAGCAGAAGCGGGAGGATGCAGGAGGGGAATGCTGATTTAGCAGTCCAAAGTGGTTGGTTTTTAATACGTGTTATAGTAAGAGCTACCAAATAATAATACAATAATAATATATGTGTTAAACACAATCAATAGATTTTTCAGCAGTAGAATAATCTTCTGGAAGTTTTCTCTCTGCAGATGTGTAGGGTTAATGGAAGTATTCAGCCCTCTCCTCCTCCCCCACCCTGCCACGTAGTCTTTCTATGCGCCATGTGCAATGCAACACAAAATTCTCTCTCTGCTCCCTCCCCAGATCCTCCTCCTCCTCCTCTCCACATGCCAGAAGTTTTCCGACATAAGACATCCCAGGGATGGAGAGAGCAATTCTCTTTGTGTAGTATAGAAGCTAGTAAGGCAAAGTTGACATGATATCCACTTGGTGTTCTATTTACTAATTAGGTGACTGAAGGCAAGTAGTTCCACTAGATCTTAGTTAGGAGTATCAGCGTAAAGGGGGCTAAATACAAATGCATGCCACACATTTCACATATTTATTTGTAAATGATTTTGAAAGCCATTAATCATTTCCTTCCACTTCACATTTATGTGTCACTTTGTGTTGGTCTAGCACATAAAATGCCAATACAATACATTTACTATTTTTGGTTGTAACATCACAAAAATATGGAAAATTTCACGGGGTATGAATACTTTTTCAAGGCACTGTACACATGCCATGGCTGCAATGCTCTGTTTTGTGGTTGCGGCAGGAATTATACCCTCATTGCTTTGTGAATGGGGCCCCTCTGCAAGTGTCCCATAACTGCATGCAATGCATGCAGCTATGGTGCACCACTGCTGGGTTCAAGGGGTTAAAGTATAGGATGCACAGTGTCTAAATGGTTAGCCCTTCCACCTGGCAGTACTAGGGTCGTTGGTTCTAATCCCAACCACGGCACCAGCTGCCTGGAGTTTGCATACTCTCCCTTTGCCTGTGTGGGTTTTCCTCCGGGTACTCCGGTTTCCTCGCACACTCCAAAGACATGTTGGTAGGTTAATTGGATCCTGTCTAAATTGACCCTAGTATGTGTATGGATGTGAGTTAGGGACCTTAGATTGTACACCCCTTGAGAGTTAGGTACTGATGTGAATGTACAATATAAATATATATATATATATTATTATACAGGATTTATATAGCGCCAAAAGTTTGCTCAGCGCTTTACAATATAACGGGAGACAATACAGCAACAATACAGTTCAATACAAGAGGGATTTGAGGGCCCTGCTCCTTGGGGCTTACAATCTAGGAGGGAGGGGCTAGTGGTACAAAAGGTAGTAACTGTGGGGGGTGGACTGGTTGGAAGAGTAGAAGATTCCATTATTAGTTGATGGCAGGATAGGCTTCCCTGAAGAGATGGGTTTTCAGAGATCGCCTAAAAGTGAGCAGAGTAGGCAATAGTCTGATAAATTGGGGTAGAGAGTCCCAGAAGATGGGAAGACAATACAGCAACAATACAGTTCAATACAAGAGGGATAGGAGGGCCTGATCCTTGGAGCTTACAATCTAGGAGGGAGGGGCTAGTGGTACAAAAGGTAGTAACTGTGGGGGATGGACTGGTTGGAAGAGTAGAAGATTCCATTATTGGCTGAGGACAGGATAGGCTTCCCTGAAGAGATGGGTTTTCAGAGATCGCCTAAAAGTGAGAAGAGTAGGCAATAGTCTGATAAACTGGGGTAGAGAGTTCCAGAGGATGGGGGAAGCTCTGCAGAAGTCCTGGAGACGAGCATGAGAGGAGGAGACAAGGGAGCTAGAGAGTAGGAGGTCTTGCAAGGAGCGGAGAGTACGGTTTGGGTGATATTTAGAGACAAGATCGGTGATGTAATTTGGAGCAGAGTTTATAAATGGCTTTCTATGTTATTGCTAGTGTTTTGAATTTTATCCGTTGGGCAATGGGAAGCCAAGAGAGTGGAGTTTTTTGAGGAGGAGGGGATGGTCAACCGTATCAAAAGTCGCAGAGAGGTCAAGTAGTAAGAGTATGGAGTAGTGGCCATTGGTTTTAGCAGTTAGTAGATCATTAGTGAGTTGCCAGACTGTAAAGGGTCAAGAAGGTTGTTGTTGTCGGTGAGGTGGGAGCTCAGGCGATTGTAGACTAAGCGTTTTAGGAGTTATATATATATGTGTGTGTGTAAAAGTTCTGCAGAAATTGACAGTGCTATATAAATGCCTAAAATAAATAATATATAAATAAATAGGCAGTAAAGAGGCAATGCAACACCTCCCACCATTTGTAAAATGCTCTCTGAAGAGCGATCCAAATGCAGAGATCAAAGTACATGTGAACAGAGCCCTTAGTGATTGATCACTACTACATGGGTCTTGTGTAACTCACACCATAAGGATCCAGTTGTTCTATCAGCGTATTGATTGGTTTCTACTACCTAGTGTTTGATTGCTAGTTTTAGTCACTATGCCAAAAAGCTCCCATGTGCACCGAGCCCATCAGAATACTTTGTGCAATTTTTGTCCATCTGTGCAGCCCACAGGCTAAACAAAAAATAAATCAGTGTATGGGCAACTTAAGAGTGTAAGCTCCTTTGGTGCAGAGACTGGTTCCATACAAGGCAGTGTAGACAGTGTCACCTATATTATTAGTATAGTACAATACCCCATCCCTGTGTTTGCACAGCTGGGTCCCATTTGGCAGAAAGTGTCACCTTCTGCTACTACCACACAAGTAATCTACGAGTCTGGAAAGGGAATGTGTTCCCTAAAATTGTTTTTTCTTATACAACAGTTCAATGGATTCTTAACCTCTTCTGGCCGATCTGGGCCTAGACACCGAGCGGCCGCACATTTGCGTTCTATTAAAAAAGGACATATGTGCCGAGAGCGCACGCCACGCACGCTCCAAGCACACATATCCGGTACTCACGGAAAGGTCCCGATCTCTCTCTTTCGATCGGGACCTTTCCCGATCATGTGACAGCGTCACGGTGGTCACATGACCCTAAACCCGCCCCACCTCCCGGCTTCTGAAACTCTTAAAGGGCCAGGAGGTGCCGGCGGGAAGGGGTTAAAACAACCCATTAGGCCTGGCTCACATCATTGCAGTTTTCTTTGGATCTGTTTTTGCAATGCTTTTTGCATTTTGCTTTGAGTTTTCACACACAGGTTTTTGCCGTTTTTTACCACTTATTGTGGGGTTTTTTTTCGTTTTTTTTTTTTTGTTAAAGGGGAAATGTTTTTGTTGCTGGGCAGAATAAAGATGCAAAACGTGACAAAAATGTGGCAAAAACGCACTACAAGCGTTTCAGCAGCATCGCCATTGAACTCTATTGTAGCAAAAACACTGTTTTTCGTGTTTAAAAAAAACTCCCCAACCCCTTTTAAAAACGCAGCTGCTCAAAAAAGCATAGATGTGAATGTGTCCCATAGGAAACCATGCTAAATGGGCTGTAGTGCGTTTCTGCAAAAAGCACAAAAAAAAATACATTGGTGTGCTGATCCTGTACAGTATGTGAACCTTCATCTTGTAAAACAACCCATTCAGTTTAAAATAGAAATCAAAGGCAAAATATTTGTGAAGATATTAAAAAAAAAAATTGTTAACACTGTTTCCCTTTTTGTAAGTGATCACATACCCGCGATTGTCAGCTGCATAAGCAGCTCAGTGAGCTGGGGGAGAGAATCAGCAGCACACTGATCTTCCCAGTGAATGGCTGTGTGGGGGGTGGGACAGTACAAGTCTGATCATTGGAGGAGAGCACGCTAAGTTCCCAGCATAGCTAGTGAACTGACCATGCTGTGCTCTCCAGCCCAGTGTGGTCAGTTTTTAATAGGAAAGCAGAGGGACTGGCAGGAAAAACCTGGAGAACAGGATACTTTGTCATACAAGTACATGGTACAGCAGGCATACAGTGGGGATCGAAAGTTTGGGCACCCCAGCTAAAAAATTTGTAATAATGTGCATAAAAGAAGCCAAGGAAAGATGGAAAAATCTCCAAAAGGCATCAAATTACAGATTAGACATTCTTATAATATGTCAACAAAAGTTAGATTTTATTTCCATCATTTACACTTTCAAAATAACAGAAAACAAAAAAATGGCGTCTGCAAA